GTTCGAAACTACCAGCCGCTCCGCGGGAGAAAAATGAGGCTTTCTACTCCTGTAAAGATTTACACCCTCGGAAACCCTGTACAGGGTCGCTATGGGTCAGAACCGACTCGACGGCACTTAACAACAACATGAAGCCCTGGTGGCACTGTGGGTTAGGCATTGGGATGCTAACCTAATGGTCAGTGGTACAAACACACTAGCCACTCTGAGGGTGAAAAAAAGAGGCCGTCTACTCTCAAAGCTTCAGAAGTCCTGTGGAGCAGTTCTACGCTAGCCTACAGCATTTCTGTGACTCCAAATCAACTGCATATCCATGTTCTTTTTAGGGTAGTCATGATGACATTCAAGAACTATGGGGAGATCCCTCAAAATCTTCCAATCAGCTTTGTCACACTGTCATTAATTCCACTCCTGGAATAGAACTCCTTAGAAGAATAATGTCTTAGTTATCTAATACCACTATAACAGAAATACCATAAATAGATGGCTTTAAGAACTCAAAGTTTATTCTCATAGTTTGTAGTTGTTACATGCTGTTGAGTCGATTCTGATTCATAGCGAGCCCATGCACAACAGAACAAAAAGGCCAGGTCCTGCATCAGTCTCACAACCGTGGTTACACTTGAGCTCATTGCTGCTGCCACTGTGCCAATCTATCACATTGCGGGTCTGCCCCTTTTTTTTTTTTGCTGACCTTCCACTTTACCTACCATGATATCCTACTCCAGGGACAGGTCCCTCCTGACAATATGTCCAAAGTATGACAGATGAAATCTTGCTATCCTGCTTTCCAAGGAGCATTCTGATTTTACTCATTCCAACATAGATTTGTTTGTTCTTCTAACAATCCATGGAACTTTTAATATTCTTCACACAGATGATGAGGCTAGAAGTCCAAATTCAGAGAGCTGACTCTAGGGGAAGTATTTTCCCTTTGTTTGTTCTGGGGAAAGTCCTTGTCTCCTTTCAGCATTTATAGGCTCAGTATACTTTGGAGATCTCCAGATGTTTTGGCATCAATCTTCCCCTGGATCTAGGAGCTTCATAGTACAGGGATCCTAAGTCCAAAGAACCTACTCCTGTCCCAGCTCTTCTCTCTTAGTGGTAGTAGGTCTCTTTGAGCTCTGCTCACGTCTCTCTCCTTTTATATCTCAAAAGAGATGGACTCAAGATACAACCTAATCTTGTAGATTGCATCTGGTCACATTAACATCATGGTGGTTATGTGCCGTGGAGTCGGTTCTGACTCATAGCTATCCTGCACAGGGTTTCCAAGGCTGTAAATCTTTACGGGAGCAGAAAGCCTTATCTTTCTCCCATGGAACAGCTGGTAGTTTCAAACTGTTGACCTTGTGGTTCACAGTCCAATTCATAACCACTACACTACCAGAGCTCCTATTAACATCATAGAAGTGAGGATTTACGCCACATATCTCAGAGCTCATCACATTAGATAACATCGTGAGAGTGATTGCATGGTAATTAGAGCTTTTATTAACTGTTAAAGCATTGAGAATCCTTGCCAAGCCTAGATGACATAAAACCTTAACTATCACAAACAATACTGAAATTGTTACCAGGCATTCACCCAAAGATCAATGAAGGCTACAGATGTGCAACTTCACCAACTGCACAGTTTTCCACCATCATCTATGTTTGGGGAATACAAAACAGGGATTAGTTGCAAACCCTGCTATTATGTAGTTGAAGTAGGTAAAAGATTAGAAAAATAAATAAGGACAAGGATCAGGGGGTGGGGGGAAGAGAATCACTTTAAAATGAGTCACTACTCTGTCTGGCATTTTACATACACTCACTTATTGCCATCAAGTCATTTCCAACACACAGTGACCCTACAGGACAGAGAGTTTGGGAGACTGTAAATCTTCATGGGAGCAGACAACCTCATTTTTCCCCTATGGAGTGGCTGGTGGGTTTGAACCACCAACCTTGTAATTAGCAGCTCAGCACTAACCCACTGTATCACCAAGGCCCCTTTACACTAGTTTCTCATTGGAAAATGGAATGCCTTATAGGAATATTAAGAATTTTTATGTGTTAGTGTGAATTACTTTGATCAATTGCTTTTCTCTAAACACTTAACTGAGCTGGGACACTAAAGCAAAAAGGGAATTAAGAGGAATCTCAAAGGATCATTTTGAAAGCCAGAACAGAACGTATGGCATGGTGGCAAGCATCAGGTGGCAGTGCTGGCCTTTGGAAAGAGGACCAGGGAATTCCAGTGGTGGAAGAGATGCACAAAGCCATAACCCCTCCTTTTTCATTTTCTCTGTCAGTATAGAAACTCTACAGAAAGACACCTTCTTTATTCATCCTGCTGCACCCCATTCACAGCACTTCAGATGCATATTGTTTTTAATTTGCCTTCTGCTTTAATAATGAAAGATACAGATAGTTGTTTGAAGGATGTAATTTTTTTTACTGCTTTGTGCTCATGTAAATAGGGTTTTATAGATTCGTTTTTCATTTGATCTTTTCCTGGATTTGTTCATTTTAGGTACTTTTTAGACACTGTCTTCCTAAGATTGCTATCCCCATTTCTTATTAATGATTAATGCTTCCCTATCCTCAAAAACATCTCTTTCATAGGCAGCCTTCCTTTGTAAAATTACTGCAAATCCTCGTCTCAAAGGGGATAATGTAGACAGGAACAAGATAACATCTAATCATTTATATCAATCAGCATCTTAACTTCCTACACTAATTGTAATCAGAAAGTAAGGATAATTGTTAGAGAAAATGAGTCATAATAGAAATTTCCAAAACCTAATTTTTATTAGCAAATTGCTTTTTGATATTGCCTTACTCAAGAAAATGAAAAGTAATAATAATAAAATTTTGTTTCAATTATCCTAAACATTAAAATAGTTCTAAACATATATCAGCACAACAAATTATACCAAAAAATCTAAATAATCAATAAATTATTTTATTTTGTTTCATATATTTAAAAAGCTTGTGTCCGCAAATACATTGTTCTTGGTGGTGGTGTTAAATGTTGTCGAATTGGTACCAACTCATAGCGACCCTGTATAGGTTTCTGTGGAGCAGCTACCTGGTTGGTTTGAACTGCTGACCTTGTGGTTTGTAGTCCATTACTTATCCTACAGCGGCATCCCAGGAGACTTCAAATACATTATAAATTTATTTTAATTTCATTAATCAAAATATTAGTAGTTACAACTGACTGCAAACCTGTTCAATTATCCTAACTCAAATGTCTTCATTCAATATAATCAAATATTGCTGTTGCTGTCTTGATTGACTGCTTATTTGATCAATTTCAGTGTGAAGAAGTAAGTTATTGTTGTTGTTGTTAAGTGCCTTCGAGTCGGTTCCGACCCACAGCGACCCTGTACAGGGTTTCCGAGGGTGTAAATCTTTACGGGAGTAGAAAGCCTCATCTTTCTCCCGCGGAGCGGCTGGTAGTTTCGAACCGCT